TTTTTTTACAATTATTTACTAAAGGGACAAAAATTTTGCCAATAAAAGCCACAAATAACATTGAACAGAGTTACAATTTAGGATACAACTTCCTTGTTWCCTCTTTYAATAGCCTATAGCAAAAAAACTTGGAAAATTATTTTTTCAACAGAAATAAATAGAGTCAAAGTGCAAACTTGAAACCCTCATAACTTCGAAATTTTTATAGATTAAATTTTTTTCCATGTTCCTGGTATCTTACCTTTTTTTTTTCTGGGGCGCGAGTTCTAGCGCACCCTGTATATGCGCATATTTTACGATTTTTTCGTGCATATAATCCGAGCCTTACTCATTAATAACGCTCTGTACATTATTTTCTAAATTTAGATAATTTCTTCAGTGTTTATTGAATTTTGCCTTTGGTTTTAGCAAAATTCGATTAAGTATACAGTGATTCTGTATAAATGTCAAAATTCCAAAACTTTTCCCAAAAAAACATTTAATTTTTCAAGCTTATTGCAATTTTATTTTTAAAAGAAAATCTAGAAAATCTCAACTAATCCACTTTATACACTGATATATTTGACCATAGTTTATTGAGGTTTGATTATTTTACAAAAAAAGAATGAAGAATGAAATAATGTTAAAAAATATTACAATAACAATGAAAAAAAAATTGTTTTTAAGAATGTTTTCAGCATTTGATTTGGTCTCATTCAAGAAACTAACAAAACTCACACAGGGAGAAACCACATTTTTGATCAAACACTGATAAATTTAACAATGATTTTATTCAAGTTATTGCTCATTACACGTCCACATTTCAAATAAATTACAATATTGGCTTAAATTACACAATGAACAGTTTAGTACGAAAGTGACAGTTGTCCTAATATTGTCTTAAGTAGAATTACCACAGAAAATCTAACCTAATTTGGCACAAAATTATGTACAAAAATAAAATTTTACAATCACAAAACTCTACACTAGATCACTAATATGGCAGATTGTCCCTCAAAATGGCTTGCTTGATGTGCTTGTACTTCTCGCACTGCCCCCACCAGGTGCTTTTGACGCATATTTTTCTCGGTTTAATAACGAAACATTTCGTTTGGACGACATTAAAGAATAACTTTCCGACGAGATTAGCGTCGCTCGAGTCCACCATCTTCAAGCAGGCCCGAAAACTGCAAAAAACGGGTAATTATGGCTTAATCAGGCCCAAAACCGGTATATTATCGTCCAGGTGACACCAGAGTGCAATAATCCCCTCGTAATTCATGCCAATAAACATATCTCGGACAGTGCAGTTCGAGAGGTAATTGCGGCGAGTTTAGGGCCATCGCGAGGGCTTTATGGGTCTTAAAGTTGCATTTTGCTGACAGGTTAGTGCAGTCCGAGAGAGGAAAAATTACTGATTGGAAAATCTTCAAGGAGATCATTAATCTTGAGAGTTTATAGAAGGTGCATAATTTTATCAACATGTGTTATGTATCAGGGATTTGTTTATTTGGCTTAAAATAAAACAGGGAATTGTTGCACTTTGGATTTCGGGCAAAGTGGTTAGGCCTTCGGGGATAAATTTAGCCTTTATGGCACGTGTGCAGAAACTTAATTCAAAAAAGTGGAACAAAAATTAGTTAAATTTATCATTTTTTTGTAATTAAATAATCTCTCTAAATATAATTTTCTATTTTACGACAGTTAGATTTTTACGTCTGGCTTCGTTCGTGTCTGAATCATTACGTTTCTCATAAATATCTCATAATTTATTTTCCTTTATAACTCGCGTCCTAAAAATACCCATCGAATTTTCCCCCAATTTAAAGTCCCATTTGTTGAAGAATTTCCCGTTGTTAGCGATCTCGCGTGAAAACTCTATGGTAATTTGAACCAGATAGCTTCAATTAGAATAGTGTGTAAATATTTAAGTACTCAAGCGACGCTCTATTGTCCGTAAAGTGTACTTAAGTTGAGTCGAAATGATCCTTTTTAGACACTTCTTAGAAAATCAATTATCGGGCATTTTTATTTGACTTTCCGAAGAGATAGCTCCAATACCACATAAATTACGCGTCAATATAATTTATTGTTAATATAAAAAAGTGATTTAAGGCGCCTTTGGGCCAAAAAAATTATTTATTAGCCTCGACGAGCCCTATAAATGTCACTTGACTGCAAATTGCACTGTTTTGATCTTGAACTTTGTTTAATTTTATTCATGAAAAAACTACTCACAAACAAATTAAATAATAATAAGTTCCGATAATTTATAGCCGTCTGGGGCGATCCGAGTCAACTAATTGACATAAAACTGCGATTTTCGGTCTGAAAAGAACTAAGAAGCTTTCCAACACTAATGATCGGCTTCGTTTAAACCACGAATTGAGCTAATCTGAAAAAAGCGACACAAAAGCAATCGTTAGAAATAAAGTTGGCTAGTAATTGACAGTGATCGGGGTAAGTCGACCGGAAACGACATAACAAGTGTCGCAATTTAGAGGGTTGAGGAAAAAAAAGAAAAATAAATTTTAGACGGTGGGAAATTTGGGGAGAGTTGCTACTAAAATTATTATTGTCGACGTAATAAAACAAATAAACTTGTTGATCGTTAAAACGGATTATATTTCTTTCATCCGAGTGTTAAATTAAGACTGTCAAGTGGGGTCGTTAAGATTTAACGGCACTAACGGAGATTTTTTTCAACAGAAGGTAATGGAAATTGTCATTGTTTCTGCAGATAACTGACCAATAAAACAAGTTATCGCCTATTTTTTAAAAATGCAAAGCCTGTTTCAGATAGTTTTCAGGTTTTTCAGATTTTTAAAAACAAATTTTGGTTAAAAAGTCGCATGTTTGTTTTTATTTTCAAAACACATACAGTACAACCTCTTTAGTCCGACCAAGCTGTGGTCATCTGAGCATGTATCTACAACAGATTTTTTTGTTTTTTTACTTTTTTTGTAAAAATCAAAATACAAGTAGGTACGTCATTCGTTTTTCAAATGTAATTAACTTAAATTAATTAGAGGCTGGTTCAAATGAGACGGTTTATATAATTTTTTTGCTTTTTGTGTTGTTTTCTATAAAATATGAATTAACAAAAATTTTTCAATTTTGTCCTTCAAATACTTATAACTGCAGTTGTCTGTAATTTATTACCCAAAATTCGGTGATGAATAATTCAAACATGACAAAATTAACAGAATCAATTTGTATGTATATCAAAAATATTTCTGCCATATTTTTTTTAATTCCACTGAAATGCAACTCTCCATAATTTAGTTTAAGTAATTTAAATAACTGAAGTCAAATACAGGGTGACTTATCAATAATAATCTGAACAATAAGAGATTTTTTTTTTCAAAATACGTATTTTAAAATAATTTGAGCATTACTTAATTTATTATATTTCGTCCTTGATTTTAACAGGATTTCATTAAAATTTAATACAGAGTGATTCAGCACGAATGTCAAAACCGCTTTTTAAATAACTTTCAAATTTTTATAATGTCTACATTATAACTATATTTTTTCTTAAAAAGACAGCTAATTTATATTTTCCAATCCTTCGGTTATTAAAATTTCAGTATTTAAGAAAAATATTAAGGGAGGGTTTCCTTAAAGGCTACTGGATAAGCTGAAGCATATTTTTAATAGACTCATCCTGTNTAGTATATACAAACATTGGTGGTGTCTTGGTAATGGAGTACCTTCTTCCTCGGTACGTAAATCTACACTACTCCAAAAAATTAAAAGAACAAAAAAATTTTTTTAATTTTTTGGTGATTTTTGAAAGGCTGTAACTCAACGAAAAATGGTCGTATCAAAATTTCAAAAAAAAGCGTTTTGAAGCTATAAGTTTCTAGTTTCAAGATCTTTTGGCAAATATTTTTTCTGTGCTACGGTTATCACACAATTCTAAGTAATAGCGCGAGAAAAGAAAATTCTAATTTTTTATGTTTTTGTTTTTGGTCCACGGACGTGGGGATTTTTTTTTAGTTAAGTCAATTTATAGGATGGATAGCATGTTTGTTTACTTTTAATATGCTTTTTTCATATTTTCTTTACGACAATTTGTCGCTGAGATATCTGACTTTAAATGAAAAAGGATCCTCTTGTATTTTATCATGGATATCTCAGCAACCAATGACCACACGAGAATATAAGGGTAGTGTCAAAAACTGGAATAAATGTCTTATAAGATTCTCTTATGATTTTTTGGAAAATTAGTTTTTTTCACCTTTAACATTGATTTAAAGAAAAGAGAAAAAAGTAAGTTTTTGCGTTGTTTTAGTAAATGCAAAATTGTAAAAGAAAGCTGAAAAAAATATACTGCTTCACAAAAGTTAAGGAAGTCGCATTATTTTTACAATAAACAAATTTTATTCTTCTAAGCATTATGGAATCCAGTAAAAACAAAAAAATAAAACGATATCTGCCTTTATCTTACTTTTAGTTAATTATTGACTTATTTTTTAATAACTTATTAATTTAAATAATTATTGTAATTATTGCACACTTCCTTAACTTTTGTGGAGCAGTTTATTTTTTTAATCTTGACGAAGATTAGACGATGTTCAGAAACAATATGTACAATTGTTCCTTTAATTCTTTTGCAAAACTTTAATCAATCGGTCCGAGAAAACGGTTTGATGGATCGATTTAAAAATTAGCAGCGCTGTGGGGGCTACTTGGAGCTGTAAAAATACCTAAAAACATTAATCTCCCCATCAATATTAGTAAATACGCGGTAGATTTACTAAAACAACGCAAAACATTCTTTTTTCTCTTTTCTTGAAATCAATGTTAAAAGTGAAAAAAAAATATTTTCCAAAAAATCCATTTATTCCAGTTTTTCTCCGTGTTGTCATTGGTTGCTAAGATATCCATGATCAAAGACAAGAGGATCCTTTTTCATTTAAAGTTAGATATCTCAGCGACAAATTAACGTAAAGAAAATATGAAGAAAGAATATTAAAGGTATACAAACATGCTATCCGGCCTATGCATTGACTTAACTAAAAAAAAAATCCCCTCGTCCGTGGACCAAAAACAAAAACATAAAAGTTTTATTTTTTTTTCTCGTGCTATTACTTAGAATTGCTTGATAACCATAGCACAGAAAAAATATTTGCCAAAAGATCTCAAAACTAGCAACTTAATACGACCATTTTTTGATGAGTTACAGCCTTTCAAAAATCACCAAAAAATTTAGGAAAATTTTTTGTTCGTTTAATTTTTTGGAGTAGTATATTTCAGTGGTTTTTGCTCGTTTTACTTGAAAAAAAGTTGAGTAGATACTCCGAAAAATCGATCTGGAGTACCTGAAGCGGAGGTTTAACTGTATGAAAAACAGCGAAGGTGTGTTATACAGGGAAAAACCTTAATTGTTGCAAAAATTCGTATAGATTGTTAATTATGTGAAGGCGAAAGGGACAAAGAAATCCCCCTTCGCGATCGTAAAATAGCGATGTGGCGGTTCGGTGGCGGCATTTGAGACAGTAGGCCGTGTCTAACAATTGACAGGCGCAGAAAAGGCGCGGCCAAGTGTGAAGATACTTCTCAATCAGATAATACTTGTTCGGGTCATTTCTTTGCCGCCTCTGTGTCAACGCGGCCCAGGATTCCATTTCCAGGACCGGACTAATGACTTTATTTCAAGTTTATTGAACTAAATTTTTTACCAACTGTTGTGTTTATTATTTCCTTCAATATTATTGTTTCAACGTGCGCCAGCTTGAGGAAACACAACAAAGACTGGCCTTGATTGATGAGACGAGAGACGAATTCAAACATTAAATTTGATTAAAAAGAAAAAAATTGTGTCTGAAGCCGGCCCTGTCTCGACGCACGTTAGTCATTTGTACTTTCTGCTCGAGTAGCGCCACGCACACCACGATACCCCAATATTTTCACAGGACTGTATTAATCAATAATAATTCGATTTCACCACCCTTAAAACATAAAAATTCAAATCCGTCTCTGGAATTTATTTAGGTGATTTATTGTTGATTCAGGGGCGGTTTGTAAATTTTTTCAAATGTTGGGGGTGGTCATAAACAAGGACTTTAATGCGGCGTTCGACCGGAAGTAGGTGATAAAACCACAATGTGTGAATATGCACGTTTTTTTGAGAAAACTCGCTCGACTCAAAACAGATCACTTTTTTATCGGATACTAGTTAAATATTGATGACTCGTAACCCATAACACCAGGTGTGAGTGATTTACGGCCGTAAAAGTGTTAAACAAAAGACGATTTTAACGTGATTTTTGTGAATTTTAATGAAACAATCAAATTGGAATTCAGAAACAATCAATTTGCAGACGAAATTCATAGAACAAGAGGTTACTCAGCTCTGTTTTGTACTTCAAGAAAGGCTTGAGTTGGTTTAATTGAGTAATTAGTAGGTTTATTGCTCAATTACAACAATTAAAATCTTGGCAAAATAGTAATTAACTATTGTTGGCGAATTATTAATTGCTCTTGATGATGAAGTGGAACAGGAAAAGAAGAATAAAATAAAACTAGAAAAAAGAGAAAACAATGAAGCTCTAAGTGGCAAAAAAGAAATAAACCGTTTATAAAAAATAAATTAGACAAAACCGTTAAAAAAAGTGAAATGGACAAAATTGAAATAGAAAATTTAGAGTATGCAAGAAATATTAAAAAAGTACAAAATAAAATTTTATTATTTTACCTACTATTTAAAAATAAATTTCAAAAATTTCAAAATAAAACTTCAAATTCTATATAATATTTTTTTTGTATTTTCGACCAACTGTACAGTTGCGGAATTAAAATTTCGCATAATGTAAACTCTAAAACAACCTTTACATTATTAACCTCATTTTTTACTCTTGTCAAGTTTATGTCATTTTGACTTATTTACTTTCAAAAATAGTGATTTGTGGCATAATAACGGGTAGGCAGGAGATCAAAGCGATGATTTAATTATACTTAGTTCAATGAATAAATTTCCTAAGACAAATTGTTTAATTTACAAAAAAAGTTTAATTGTCTAAAAATGTCAGTCATGATGACAATAAAGGATAGTTTACAGTGAACTTTTTAAAGTGGCAGAAAAATGCTGCCCGAAATTTTAATTCCGCAACTGTACTTGGTCAATTAATAGTTTCACTGATCAATAATTACGACAGTTATTAAAAACTTGGCAAAACAGCAAGAAAGTGCTGTTGAACAATAATTATTATTCATACAGAGAAAATTTCAAGTAAGATAAGATACCAGGAACATGAAAAAAAAATTCTCTGTCAAAAAATTTTGACATTTATCAAAGTGCAAAATTTAAACTCTCATAACTTCGAAGTTTTTAGAGATAAAATTTTTTTAACATTTTTTCCATGTTCCTGGTATCTTACCTTATATGGCATTTTTCTCTGGGGCGCGAGTTCTGCCGCACCCTGTATAGGTATATGATAATAAAAAGAAAGAGGAAAATGAAGAATAAAATAAAACCACAAGAAAAACAAAGCAATAAGCGATAAAGCTCTGAGTAAAATAAAAAAAGAAAGGAAACATTCGTAAAAAAATAACTAAAAAATTATTTAAAAAAATGGAATAAACAAATGAATTGAAGAATAATTAGAGATAAACAAAATCTTTAATAAAAATGAAGATTTCAATAAAAAAATGTAAGGACTACGAAAATGGCATAACAAAAATTGAAAAATTAACTCTGAACACAGAAGAAAAGAGATAAAAGAAACAAAAAATAAGAATAACACAAAAAGTCTAAATTTTTATTGGGTTATTGGGTTTTGGTATTTTATCCAGCTGTGCTTGAAATTCCGCCAAATTCCGTGTCTAAAAACCTCCCTTATTCAGGCCAAAACAATCATCCCCGACCCCACCTGTCCCATTGTGGACAAATGTTTCGGTGTCCACAAACGACCCTCGACAATTTTGTGAATTTTCAGAAGGACCCCCTGCCGCTCCCTAAACACAACCCTCACAATAGACTTGAAAAGGCGCCCTCAAGTGACGACATACCCTTCAAAATTACAGTTTACTGACCGACTTAATCTGTACTGACAGGAACAACCCCCAAAGAGAGTGTACCAACTAATTATCTTAATAAATCTATATAAGAAAATTATATCACAATCAGATAAAAACTGGTAATATGAGTCGGGGATGTTCAGGTAATTTTTTCGAGGCGAGATTGACACTTTCGATAAAGGTTTAAATATTTGAGTTGTCGAGAATGCAAATATTTGAGGAAAAAATCAAGTTGAAGCGTTTAGAATTACGCAATGGGATGCTAAAAACAGTGTCTTCGGAAGCACTTTCCAAGTAATTAAATGTCTTTTAAGGTTTGAATATTTTAAAAGGTGTCTAACAAGAGGCAGATTAGAGTCGGCGGGCCATTTCCACAATTGCTCCTCGTTTATAATTGGAAAAAGAACAACAAAATTAACGGTGTCTGGTCTGGAATTTTAAAAATAAAACACACAACATTTTTTCTATGCCCGTTCATTGAAAGTGGCACAAAATTTTATAGATTTGTCCATATTTGACGTTTCACCTCTTAACCAACCGTTTAACTATGATAATCAGTGTTAACTTATCCTAAAACCACTGGTTGTTTACCCACTTATCCCAATACCATTTTGAGACCCATCATTACCGTTCGTCGCAGCTACAATGCATGATGGTGTTAATCCTCCAATTGAAGAGTCCGTATTTGGTCTCGAAGGCTCCGATCCAGAACCTGCAGGACAGATCGTGTCTTCGACAGCACTTATCCGTCCTCGAGAAGCCCCCAAGACGGGTGTACTTATCAGCGGAATATCCTTTACCGCACCATTTCGTCCCAGGAACCCTCAATAAATCGGAAACGTCGCGTTTATGTCTAAGGAATTCAACCAAGTCAAAAAAAGCAACAACGGCGTGTTGTGTCCGTGGCTTTCGTGCTTTGGAGAGAAACTTTTTTCATGGAAAATAATCGATTTGCGCTAGAGGAATTCGAGACGCATTGACAGCCGCAATTTTTAATCAAAGATGCAGTGGGGCGGAAAAAAGATTTCACTGAAAACTGAAAAATGTGACAGTCTCATTCGGGACCATTATTTCACCTAAATTCAGCCTTGGAGAAGACATTTTCATGTTAAAATCTTGTTCAGATTAAAAAACTTTTGGTGTACATTTTTTTCAGAAGTGTTTTGTATTTCTGTACCATTTGGGGGGTTTCAAAATGGCTTGACTTCAAAAATTTTCGTCAAAGTTCCTCTGGGTTTTACTCAATATCCCGAATATTTTAGTTTTTAGATAAATTTTTATAGGATTTCTGTATCAGATTTTTTGAACAAAAACTTCAAATTTTACTCACTTTTCAACTAAACAGGTGTTTACGGTCTTAAAGTTGAAATTTAAATGAGATGATATTCATGGTAGAAGAAAACTAATAGCTATATAAAACAAAAATTCACGTTATGAAAGCAATAATTCATTTAATATTATTTTTTTAAGAACTGCTGCTTCGGCTGCAACAATGGCCTTTAGTATCATTACTTGTGTTTCACTGTAAATCATAATCACGACAACCTATTTATTATTTTAATTTTTATGTTCATAAATTTGGAAAAAGATTAAGAAAAACGAATCAAACCTATTGAAAACCATTTCGCTCAAAGAGATTAAACAGAAGATGTCCGAATTTTAATAAAAACTAAAGCATAAGCAAATGAAATGGTGTCAAAACTATGAAGTGACTTTTCTCTTTCATTGTCATGGATACGATTTTTTTATTTGTTGCAACAATACAATTTATCTGAACAAAGAAATCATTCCAGTGACACTCAAACTGTGTACCAATATTTTGAAGTTAAATAACATTCTTAATAATAACAAATGCGTGATTTTTTTTCTCGGTTACACTCTTATTACTTGGTCAATTTTCAACTCTAAGACTGTAAACACCCTGTATGTTTTTCATCAGTTTTCAAAAAAAAAAAATAATTTATTTAAGCAAAATGCTCCTACAAAATTTACCATTTACTCAACTTAACACCAAACATAAAAATAATACAAACAAATTTAATTCCATATAGTATAAAATCGGAAAAACATACAAATAAAATAAACAGTTCAAAATGATTAAAGTTACAAAAAATTTTTTTAAAAACTTTATAAAAAAATAGAACCATAAAATTTGTTAATTTATAGTAAATTATGAGTTCTTTTTTCTATTATTATATCTATTTCTACGATCGTTTTCAATAAAAAAGCACTCCTCATAATGCTCGTAGTAAAGTGACAAACTGTTTTTAAAGAAATGTTTTGTCTTTTAAGACACATTAAAAAAAAAAAAACTAGTACAGTTTTCTAAAAATTTACTTTTTGTAAAGTAGGTATATTTTAAATTTTCGCACCCATTTGGGTTTTTAATTTGATTTGAAAGTTTCCAAAAATTTTGACATAGTTTTTTTTAGATTTTCAATAACTTAGATTAAAAAATATATATTTAATTTCAAGTCAATACTTATCTAATCCAAATTCACACAGAATAAACAGGTAAGTATATAAATAATTGAATTTTACTCACTTCCATCTTAAACACTTTAAGACTTGTATATTTTTATGCATTTTCAAAATTCATCCGGTTCTTTTTAGTTTATTTATAAACATCATTTCCCTATCAAACCCGTCGTTTACTCAACTTACGCCAAACATAAAAAATAACTTAAACAAATCTAATTTCATGTAGTATAAAATCGAAAAGAAATAAAAAATTAAAGGAAACAATTAAAAAATTTACAAAAAATTAAAAAAAGCTGTTTTTGTGTAAATTCTTTACGTGATTTATAGTAAAATTTACTATTTGTAGTAAAATTATTAGCAGTATACGTATAATAACTTTAAAAATTAAAAAAACACGAGCTTCTAAATACAGGGTGTTAAAAAAAGACTAAAATGTTTCAGGAGGTAATATGTAGTATGAACCAAAACAAACAAAAAAATCTTAAGAAACATGGTTTTGGTCCATACAATGACCTCCTTAAATATTTTAGAATCTTTTTTGACACCTTGTATAAAACGTGTCCTATACAGTCTATGGCCTAGAAATGTTAAAACACTATTTTATACACAAAACTCATTACTATAACTTATTGCATCACTTGAAATTGTTTTGAAAAATAAGTTCCAATCCGAAATTATGTTTTTCAAATCAAACACCCTTTTTTGTGTTTTTGAAATAGCTTTTGAAGAATATGGTGTCTTTAAACTAAACTTTTATTGCTCGATTTTGATTAGTTTTTGAAATAGTTTAATTTCTTTGACAATTTTTTTTTAAACCTAATACACAAAAACTGAGAAAACTAAAAAAATACATTTTGACTACTTTAAAGAAGTAAGTTTAAACTTGAGAACCATATTTAGTGCGTTGTAATTAAAAAGTTACCAAAAAAACAAACATTTGTTAAAAGTTGAATAATGTAAAAAATTGAAATGACAGTATTTTTTGTTTTTGCATCTAAGCGACTGTCATAATAATTGTAAATAATTTATTTTTAAGACATCCCGTATATTTAAGCATAATTTCAATTAGGAAATAAAAAATGTAAATGAATAAAATTTTTAAAAAGTGTAAAAACAGTCAAATTTAGAGGAATATTTTTGTTAAAAATTCTTTTTTATTTTTAAATTGCAACCTACCTTGAGTCGCACCAACAGTGCGAGAGCGTAAAGGGGGAGTAGTTATGAAAGTTGTACTTTGTGGTAAAGCCCGGAATGTTTCTTTTGCAATGGTCATGTCTTCGGCAACACTTATCAGTATAGGCCATGGGCCCCAAATGGCTGTACTTTTTAGCATTGTCAGAATCGCCACACCAGAGAGTACCCGGAACGATCAAAACGGACCGTTTTTGCCGTCCCCTAATCACAATTAATTAAAAATGGTGGACAAAACTTCAAGCCACCGCCACCTGACACAACACGTTCAAAAGACAACACGAAGCCAAGCCGAAATTACCTCTCACTTTGTTGGCCATTTTTCAACTCCAAAACTTCTTTTTTCATCCGGTGGTGCAATTTCTTACAGGTGCTTTTCAAAAGGGTGAAATTGAACCAAGGGGCGATCTCGGAGGGTAATTTTTTATTATCTAAAGATTCGATTGTGATGTTTGAGGTAGAAATGAGATTTCTTAAGTCGCTCTTGAAGGTTTCTAGGAACTTTACTACTTGGTCTCTTTGATGGACTATTTCGCAGTCTTTCAGGTCTTCGCCGTTGTAGATCAATTGGAGGAGATGGTGGCGGTTTGTCACCTGACGAAATTTGATGTCGCTGAGGGACCTGCAACCAACAAAATAATTTCTTACATTAGTATTCGTGGGGCTCACCCTTCTTTTGGGAGTCAACTTAACATACAATAATATACAAACATTAAAATTCCTTCCAGATGTCCAAATAGACTTAAACAGTGGCTTTTAGCCGAAATTATGGAAACCTCGCAGGTAGTTCACCCTTCCCACAGTGGTGTCTTATCACATCTGTGCGAGCAAATAATAATAAATAAAAATGTTTCGTCGAAGGGTTTTAAGCAGTCACAAATCCGGGAATGGGCGAGCGCGCCGACCACAATGGGCCGGATTGTGAAGTGGTTTAGGGGGCGAAGAGTGCTTTCGAAACCCCTCTCGATCTCGACTTGAAGAATCGAGTACAGACACGCAACGCGGAAAATTCGACAAGGGTATTCCATTCGGACTTTATCTCTAAATCTCAAATATTTAACGAAATAATCCGGCGTTATCAGCGATCGTGATTGATCGGCCACAATGGCTTGTTTGAAGGCCCTGATCTAATTTGGATGTGTCCACGATCTACACACTTGTTGTTTGTGTAGCGAGAAAGAAGTACAAGAGTTTCGAAACAATTAACCGCTTTTTACAAAGTTGAGATTTAATCAGGCGGTGATATACGGAACGAAAGCCAGAGACGGCTTTAAATTGCAAGAAAATTCCTCTTGGCGCAAAAATGTGGCCTAGAATCGGGGTGATTTTTCATTTGTGACAAGACTGCTACTTTGAAGGTAGGTCTCGAGAGATATTTATTGAATAATACATGCGGTTTGTGATATTCTTGGTATTTTATGCGTAACGGCTTCTAATTACGCTTTTGAACTAGTTAAGTGAGTATAAGATTTGTTTATGTGTGCTGATATCAATTAAGTTTTAAGAAAGTTCAAGAGTGAGGTTTAGAAGTGTTTTTTAGACCCGCAACATCAATATTTACTAATCAAGATCTTGTTTTACAAGACGTAAAATAAAATAACTCTTTCAAATTTAAACAATTTATTTATTTTGGGTAGGTGATGAAATAATACTCAAATTCTGTTTTAATACAATTTTCCGTAACTTATTCATCGGGTTAACAAAAAGTATGGAACTAAACTATACTTATATATTTTTTTGTTTTTGAGTTTTGCAAATTTTATTTTTTTTAATAGCAAGCCACTATAAAACCTTTTTTTACAAAGGCTGTGATCCATGCATTGCAACTGTCTACATTTTATTCGATTTTAGGAGAAAAAATTCATATAAATTGCACTTTGAAAAAAATCGCATAACTCAAAATTGCATTTCCAAAACACGATCAATTTTTTTATAGTTCATTCTCTAAGTATACAGGGCAATTCAAAAATGTGGGGCCAACTCTCGAATGGTGACAGAGAACTTTCAGCTAAGCATAAAAATTACAGATTTTAGTTTCAAGCTTTTTTTTAAAAACTGTCAATTTTCATATTATCATATAGGCATCTTAATTTTTTTGTTTCCGATGTTGTTAGATTTAAATTATTGTTAAATTTGCTAATTTGTTAAATGATTTTTACACCATAAGACACAAATTGGTGATTTCTTTCAACAAGTATCGGAACTGCCAAAATCTTAATCCAAAATCTAATCTTTGAAGAACTATATCTTGTGAAAATAGCCTCAAACAATTTTTTGTTATGAGAACTTTTAAGTCAGATGGATGTCCTGTATAATGTCCTGTATAATCAGCATGTATATTATCATCTTTTCCTCACAATAATAATGAGATAACAAGATGTTTTTCAAGTAAAATCGTGTCTTTTTCAATAAAAGTTCACATAAGTTGACAAATAAATTCTGTTAAAAGAATGTTTTTTTCAATTTTATAATTTATAAAAAAAAGCGTGAAGCTTTTAATTCTGGAATTAGTTGTACAAATTTTTGTAATTTAATGTACTAATTTGAAATTGTCAAAATTATATTTGGATTAATTATATTATTTGTGAATTAGTGGAATTTTTCTAGAATTACCTACTGGAAATCTCTTTGGAATTGTTTTTTGGAATTATCGAAAATAATTTGGAATTACAAGAATAATTTTAGAATTACGATATTTAAATTGAATTTATAGGAATTAATTTATAATTATAGAAATTAATATGCAATAATGAAACAACGATAGATTATTAGAATTACTAGAATTTCGGTAGAATTTTTATAGATGAATTACCGGAATTATTTGTGAATTATTGAAATTTTTCTAGAATTATTGGAATTCTTTTTGGAATTGCTGAAATTTTTTTGGTGTTATCAGAAATATTTTTTTTAATTAGGTAGAATTTCTTAGAACTAATTAATTTAGAATTACAGAAATTAGTTTAGAATTACAAAAATTAAGTAGAAATTACTAGATTTATTTTGGAATTCGAATTAGTTTCGGCGCCTCGTATAATACTAAAAAAAATCTTAAAAACAAAACAAAATTTCATTTTCAAAACACAATCACATTTTTTATAGCTCACCCTATATAGTATATTATCACCTTTTCCTCAGAATAATAAGATATTTTTTAAGTAAAATCGTCTCTTTTAAGAAGAGTTCACATAAGTTCATAAAAAAAAATTGTTGGAAGAATTTTTTTCTTAATTTCATAATTTAACTACAGGAAGGAATACCTACTATTTTTTATCATTTTTTTCTTTTACGTTTGTCATTCCCTCACTTTTCCCATAATGATAGTTAAAGATAAAAAGTCAAATATAATGAGTCCAATTTTTTTTGTTAAAAAAACAAACTTTTTTGGAAGATTCTTTATTCAGTTTGCACAAAATATTTAATACACTTCGATTACGTACTTAAATAATCTCAATTTAATCAGATAAATAAACACTTCAAGACTTGTATATTTTCAATTTCCAAAAAATATGAAATTCATCGAAACCGAAATCCGGCTCGTTGCAGTTTATTTACAAACCATGATTTCCCTATCAAACCACGTCATACCTCCTCGCCTTACGCCAAACATAAAAAATAACCCAAACAAATCTAATTTAATAATCTTTCAATCCCGATACCTTCCCACGTGACCAGTTTTATCTAAATCATCCTTGGGGTGTACCCGATCCTCCCTAATCGCATTCCTTATCCCAACATTTTAATTGTCTTTAATTCCAATTAAATCCACCGTTTTTGGTTGTATTTCACACCGTCTCATTATTGTTTTATCTATCGACATTAATTCAAGCGAAAAAAATTTCTCTTCGAGTTAAAAATAATGTACTGGTAGTCCTGTAAAGAGTACTTGTCCACTTCTCGGCTGGAATTGATGGACCTATTTTATTGCGCCATTTGAAACAATGCTAGTCGAGTGGAGTCATCAAAGGGGGCTGCACGGGAGTAAAAAGGACTGTAATGATCTAGGGCTAAGTCTACTGTTGCGACTTTTTCGCAAAGCTGGGACGAAGGTGTGCCAGCGACATTAATTATTGATAGAGCAGGGGCGGCCCCACCAAGGGGGCAACTTACTGACATATTTCTAATTTTAGTTTGTTTTACTGTAATTGAGTAGTAAAATGAAAACTATAAGTTTTAACGTGGTTCAATTTGCTATCAAGCGAAAACTGGTAACCATTTGCATAACAGGTCGTGAAAAAACCCTACAATTTCCTCAATACTTTTATTTCAAGACTTCTTGAGTATTAGACAGAAAGTAGAAACAGGAATTAATAGGATAGGACATTGTCTTGTGGTCGGCTTTAGCCCACCTTCCCCTACTAAAATATTTTTTTTTAACTTAACAAGAGTTACCAGTATTAAACCCGTTTGCAGTAATTAAACTAAGTATTTTGGGCTTATCTCCTTGCTAAAAACCCGTCTTATTAATCCAAAAGCCACTTTTGTCATTGTGTTTTGTTTCTTTTGTTTATTTTTCGAATATGTAACTTCGCCTACTTGATACTCACTTTATATGCGCTATTGTTGGTTTGTAGACGTTACTCGGTGTTCGAACACTTGTAATTATTGTTTTATACGGACCTCACCCATCAATGTCTTGTCGATTTTTTTTAACAATGTGAAATTTCACGCACACGCCTCGAAATGCCTCAAGATTTTTTTAATTCGGCTCGGATTTCAGACGATTGTAATCGAATCATCTCGTGAGTCACTTGGTTTTGATCTGTGGAGCTTAACGCCCTTGGTCACCCCAAATGGGACGAATTCTATCAAACATTAGTAGTTTTTACATAATTTTTATGAGGGGTTGGGGACACGTGATACCCTTGTAAGCTAGTAAAAGGGTTGGGATTGTAATAATTAATCATTGAGTTCCTTTGGGCCAAGGAATGTCACTCCTAATTAAGAGTTTCGGGTACATTTGTTTCAATCGCGTGATTTTTTAATTAACGAGAGTAGATAATTCTATGCAAAAAAATAAATAAACAGGATTTTGCAAAGGCGATAACGATGTTCTAAGTAGCAGTAAAATCCAAAGTTATAAAATTAAATTGTACTTAGAATTGAGTGGTGTGATCTTGATGACAGTTCAAATTAAATGAAACGTAATCTTTTTCTGATTTCTAGTGACGATTATGTCAAACAAGATATGGTCTTTCTTGTCTCATTGAAATTTTAATGATTTTTAACACATTTTCAATCAATTCTTTTAAAAATGGGACCTGCTTTTTATACAGGATGCGCCAGAACTCGCGCCCCAGAGAAAAATGCCATATAAGGTAACATACCAGGAACATGGAAAAAATTATCAATAAAAATTTCAAAGTTTTGAGGGTCTAAAGTTTGCACTTTGACTCTATTTATTTCTGTTGGAAAAATAATTTTCCAAGTTTTTTTGCTATAGACTATTAAAAGAGGAAACAAGAAAGCTGTATCCTAAATTGTAACTCTGTTCAATATTTGTGGCATTTATTGGCAAAATATTTGTCTCTTTACTAAATAATTGTAAAAAAACATATACAAGATCATCAGTATCATTAAATAGATATAAAAAAATGTCGAATGTCAAAAAATAAATGTCAAAGGTTTTTGACAGATAAAATTTTTTAAACATTTTTTTCATGTTCCTGGTATTTTACCTTATTTGAAAATTTTCTCTGGGGCGCGAGTTCTGGCGCACCCTGTATACAATTAATTTTATGTATTTTTTGTTATTTTATTATTTATTTTGAATAGGTGGACTTTAGAATTTCGTTGTCTGATCCGTAATTTTATCTTATCTCAGTACTCTATCTTAAAAATGTCTGGAATTTTCTAATTTGTATAAAATATTTAAAGTGAAATTTATTTCAGATTGCAAGAATAAATAAAGCTCAAATTTTAACCTACAGCAATTTGAAGCAGACTTTATACTGTACATACCTAAATCATTCATTATCTCAATTAACATGTTTTTCCGGAATTTATACTCTCTACAGTCAGAAATATTTTATCGAAAACTGAGGGCGTTTTTTATTTTTGTTGCTTAAAAGTTTTAGTAAAATAAAACAGTCTAAGGGATATATGTTTAGGTGATGTTTATTAGTAGTTTTCTTAATAATTTGAATTCATTTTAGACATTTAGAAAGATGGTTTTAATTTTGCAAATTCTTAAATAACTACCTACGCCACTGGACGAAATATCTCATCCTTTATTTGTACTCGTATGTAAATTTTGATAATCTAATATTTGTTCAAGAAACATTTTATTTACTTATTTTTTTTGTATTAACTTATTTTTATTTTTCAAATAAATAAAAACACATGTATTTATTTAGTTTTTTTATGCTTTGTTTCATTTTTGGGTTTCCTTGTAGCGTCCTGAAACTAGACCAAATTTCAGTCATCAAAGAACAATAGCCACAATTAAGCGGAAACAACTTTTATTCAAATACCATCAATTTTGTTGTCACTCAAAGCTGATTTAAGAACAAAGCTTTTCGTTAAATGTTAACATCAATCCAATCTATTTTTTCAAACTTACGTCACTTTAACAATTTTTTATTACACTCCTTTATAATTACTATTGTTGTTGTCATTTTACAATCACGTGGAAACTAATCATGTCTGGGTGTAGGTGAAGCAGAAAAAAAGCAATATTTAATCCGACAAAGCAAAAATTTCTCAATCTTCACCTTAAATGGCCTAAATAAAAATCTTAGACATATAACCTGCCAGGAAACTGGTAGTAGAAGAGAAAAAATGTTATTGCAACGGTGTAGAAACCAACAAACACCCACTGAACCATTAGTGCCCATGTTTAACCCATCATCCAGTTTTTGACTTACCGTCGTCCCACTGTGATTTCTTTCGCACTAACCCCCTTGTAATAAATCCTCGTCTCGACCTCACCATCTGGCAAAGTGTTGGCGGCAATAAAGTCTCTAATCTCTTCACCCCGTCCCCAAGTTGCCAAAATCAGGATTGCCACCAAAAGGTGGCAAAAACACCCGGGGTTGGTCTCTTTGAACTTCCACATTGACCACTTCCACTCGCGAAATTCACTCCATTTTGTAAAAATTCAGACGAGCTTTTATAAGTGTACGTCGATGATTAATTCGGCAGCGCGCGCGGACAATTGACACGCGATTGTACTTAAGCGTCTTGATCTTGGCTCGTGTGCGCTGATACTGGCTTCGATGTTGAAAGAACTAAACGTTACAAGCGCAGCTTGTAAGGACCTTTCGGGGGGCTCTATTGTTCGCTTCTTTGCGTCCTTTTCGTGGCGATTTCGACGAGCGACTCACACTCGATGACTTTTAAATTGATATCTCTGATAGGATTGTGAGAATTTGCGGTAGATTGACGCTGATAAGGTTCAAAGGTTCGAAAATTTGGGAAACCTTGACTGTTATTAGGATTGATTAGGACGATTTAGAGTACTGCAAAATGCATCACGCAAAATTTCCAAGATCAAAGTCCAAAATAAATTATAAAATTACAATACATACTTCTAATAAAAACTCGTATTTAGAGAAATAATTCAACTGATAAGAATAAAAACTTATATTTCTACAAATTTTCAGACGTTCTGAGTAATGTTTACCGTAAATGTTAGTGTTTTTGATAAACATTACTTTACTTAAAATTCAGCGTTACTTTATTTCATAAAATTTGCAATTTTACAATAATTGTGAAACTTCCTTCTACTTGCAAGGTAGCAAAATAATTTTATTATGTACTAATCAAAAACAGTTTGCAATTAAATCATTATCATTGTTCATTAACAGTTTTGATATTATAGTTAATAGTAGTTAATAGTAATATCAAAGGAATAAATAACTATTTTAATCTCGAGTCAGTAGGTAATGTCAGAGGCAACCAAAGGGGGCCCAGAGCATTTTCATTCAACAGTTTAACAATGTTTATTCTATAGATGAATACAAAACTTTAATTAATAGTAACATAAGAAAATGATAAATTAGACAAATAATTTCAAATAATTTGTCAAAATATTCAATTAATTCAATTGAAGAATAAAAATCGTTATCAATAATAAGTTTGTTTATGTCAAAAAACATTCAATTCATTCATTTCCAGTTTATTTTATTTCCTAGGGAATAAAATACAGTTCAGAATGTTGGACATCAAATTATGTCAATTTAAGAAATATCAATGTAAGCCATTATGATTGACGTTTCAAATTAAAATTAAAGTTTTAGTTGAAATGTATTTTTAGCGACAATTTTCCGAAACAATAATATCCGCAGTACGTTTTTTTATGTACTCGTAATTCAATAACTTATTTTGATTTCTTGTCATTTTTTCTGTCATGATAAAAATTATAAAAAGCGAAAGTGAGCTTAGTTGCATAAGACATTTTTATGTCAGTCGAATAACAAATCGTACAAAATTCCGAGTCCGGAACTGTACCAGATTTTTAATCAAAAACAAGAGAATAAAGCTTCACTTTAGGTATTCCCAGTTGGGGGGAAATATATTTTTAACAATGTTTAAAAGTAAACTGTGAATATAAAAGTTTCAAATTTTATTTTATCAAAACAACAAAGAAATCCATTATCTCTGCGATTTTTCTCGCAAGTGTGCGATAAAAAAATTAAATGTGTAGTAAAAAATATCTTTGACTTTAGCTTCCTATAAACTACATAACACCTTGGTACTGTTCACCAAAAACTACAAAGTCAAAACACCCCGTATATATTTTTTGCAAATTGCCATTTCTATATTTTTTTCAGTACTGAGAGCTAAAAATTTTGGGCTAATTGTCCCACTTTCAGCAATTAAAACCGTTTTTTGTTTTTGGATTTTTTAGTATCATTTGATTACATTTTTTTTTCTCTAGCCGGATTAAATTTTTAATTTTTGAAAGATAAATTTGACGTTTTTTTTAACTAGAAAAAAATTGTTACCATCGCAATTCTTATACTTTTAATCTTAGACTTATAATTTTTATTTTTTTAGCTTTAAAAACTGTTACTTTTAATCCTAATAAAACAATAAACCAAGTGAATAAAAAGTATGGAACCAAACAGTTTTTGCTTAAACAATTTGTGTTTTGGAAAAACTAATTGATGAATGATAAAGTAGTATAAAAATGTGATGTTTTATCAAGAATAATATTTTTCGTAATTTTCTTTTGTTTTTGAATTCCACAATTTTTGTTTGTTTGTTTAAATGGCAACCCACTATAAAACCATTTTTCTTACGAAGGTAAGAAAATTGTAATCTAAGGATTACAAATATCTACTTTATATTTATATTTTTCATAAAAAATGTTTACATAAATTGCAATTTTTGCAAAAAAATCACATAACTCAAAAACAAAACAAAATATCGTTCTCAAAATACGATCACATTTTTGACATTACTTTGATTTATATTAATTATTATGTTCTGAAAGCAAATGATTAAAAAAAACCGCTTGGTTTCATACTTTATATTCACTCTGTTTGTACATTTTTTTCTAATTTTGCACATGTTATTTTTGGCTGGAGAAAAAATAGCTTGTTTTATTCGGCTTAAAAGTGAGTTTTTTTATCTCGCAAAAAGTTACACTTTTAATCCTAGTAAAACAATAAGTTCCTATACTATTTTTGGAGTGGATATCAAATAAAAACGAAAAACTTACAAAGCAAATTAAAATTTTTCTTTTTGTTTAGA